CCCTTTAAGGCCCCCCCCCCCCCCCCCCAACCCTGCTGAGGCTTCCCGGGTGACTCGCCCTGCAAAAGGACCTGCTCGGCCCCATCCACGGTGTGGGATGGGATGCCAAAACAGCCGACTCACTTGAGGAGGTACGCGCCGGCAATGTGCACCAGGTAGAGCGCGATGCACCGCAGCTGGCGGGGGATCTCCTCCTGCCAGGGGCAGAAAGCAGTGTTAAACCCTTGCCCCTCTTCACCCGCCCTCTCCCAGAGCTCGTTTGCCCCAAAGCCCATGGACAAACCACCTCAAGCATCCCCAGGATGGGCAGGAGCACCCGCCTGGCTCTCACCTTGCGAACTTTTTGGAAGTAGAGCTCTGGCAGGGCGTGCAGCCAGTATGCCAGCTGGCACAGGTAGAAAAACTTCACCTGGAACCTGAAACGCAGGGATGAGCCATGTGAGCCAGCCCGGGGCATGGCAGGACCCCAAGGACCCAGGGAAGGCATCTGGCCACGTAGCATTGGGCAATCCCTCCACCGCTTTGAGGCCAGAGGATTTAGGATGCATCATTTCTGGGCTGAAATTATATGTTGAGCTGAGCTAGCTGTGCCTGGAGGTTATCCAGATGCTTGTGCTGTGGGCTCCATGCTGCCAGCAAACATCACTCATATAAAAACCCAAGAAGGGAGGATTATCCCCCACTTCTAGTATGAAAAATGAACAGCAAAGAAACTCGCCCAAGGTGATGCAGGCATGAAGCACCCAGGATGAAAAAAGCGAGCCCACAAGACCTTCCCCTCAGAGGAAACCCTCTGTGAACACCTTCCCCGGGGCCAAAAATGAGACATCTCCTGTTCCCCAGGATCTCACTGCAGCACCCTTGCAGCAGGGTGCATGCAAAGGGCACTGTGTTGTCAGCACCCCCCTCCCAGCCGCAGGAAAAACCGTATAGAGGAAGGAAGTGGTCAGCCCGAGAACAAAATGCCCTTGCAAGTGCTTACGGAAGATAAACATGCGGGTAGTTTTCCCACAAACTCCGGGGGTTTGATATGTATCCTTCCTGAAAAAGAGAAAAGATGCAAGCCTTCAGCAAAAGAAAGAGGCAGCACATGGTTACGATGGGGCAGGCTGATGCCACAGCAAAACTAGGAACTGGGGATGACACCCAAGTCCTTTCAGCCTGCAGTAAAAACCGTGTCCCCTGCGCGAGCCAAGGCTGAGCTCTCCAAAGCTCAGCCACATTCATGGGTCTCTAGCGCCCTGTTCAAGTTTCATGAGGCCCCCGTGTTTGGGGGTTCGAAGGCTGCTTGTTTGGTTGCACAGAGGGTCCCAATTTCAGGTTTTGGGGTTTGGTAATGCAAGAGGGATGCTCTGGAGGCGGGGGGGTAAGATGCCTGTAGCCTGGCTCCAAGCAACTGTGCGCATGGTCTGGGAGGGCGGCTTCCCCACCGGCATTTCCAACTTGAGTATCAGTTAAGCAGAAAGAAGTACTTCTGAAGTGAAAGGAGAACAGAAAAGGCCTACAAAAATAATTTAATATGCATTGCATAGTTTAGTTTTCCACCTGCCTGCATTCACCTGCAGCCTCTTGCCTTGCGCTTGCAGGGCAGATTACAGGATGGGGCTCCCTTCTCGCTCCACACTTGAACAGCTCCTGCCCCAGGGGTGCTGCATGGGGCTTTGCAAAGAGATGCTGGCATGGGAAATTCATCCTGCCCAGCACCTACCCCATCGTCCATGCCCTGTCTGCCTTAAGCCCTTTATTCAGTTGGGGGAGGCCAGAGGAAGTGCAAGTGCTGCAAAAAGTGACCTGCTCTGCACAGACAGGGCAGCTGGGGAGCACGGCACAACAACGTGGGTCTGCACAGGAGGCTACAGCCCGGTAGCTGGTGAGGGATGGCTCTGGCACTGGGTGAGGGCAGCCCAAAACCAGCAGCATAGACTGTCTTGCCAAAGCTTCCCTCCCCACATCCCTGCAGGGCAGGAGAAATGCCAGCAGATCCCCAGAAATGCTGGCTTGGAAGTGGGTAGTGGTCCTCTAAGGGGGGCTGGCAGGACCCCCCAAGCAGTGGGGAGGGGACCTGCCCCTGAACATCCATCCCCAGTGCCAGCAGGGACCACAGCTCGACCCCAATGGTCACCAGTAGCAAAGCACTGTCATCACTTCATGCTGCCAGATCTCTCCAACAACACCCATTCTTCCCTCCCCCTTCCTCCCCAAAATGGAACATTTTCACTCCAAATTTTTCTCCCAGAAGTTTTGGGTTGAAACATCTCCGGTGTAACCCAAGGTGCAGTGTAGGTTTCCTGCTCTTAGCAATTCCCTCACCATCAGCTCACCGAGAGGGGAATCACAAGGACAAGGGGCACAACCACCTGCCCATTCACCTCATACCCCTGTAAAGGGCATCCAAAACCCCCAAAGCACTGAACTCAAAGAAGGAGGACAATAAGGCTGAGAAAGAAGGCAGGTCCCAGTGCAACAGATGGAGATGACAGAGTCAGGCAGGATTGCCAGGGTTCAGCCCAAAAATATTTCACAGCCCATTTTCTTGTGCCTTGCATGGCGAAGGAGGAAGATCCCCCCAGACAGCCCTCACTCAGTGTCTGGAAAGACCCGCCTCACTTGAAAACTTGCTGAAATGTGCCCATCTTGGCACAGGGACTGGCTGGGGACTCCGCTACATCAGGGTTTTGTGCTCCAGAAACCACAAATCCCACAAAGGGAACCCAAAGCCCGGCCAGCCTCGTGCCTTACCGTCACCACGACGTACAAGCACCAAATCACAGAGGTGAGGTGGAAGGCAACCAGCTGTCCCGATTCATTGAACTTGCTGTGTTTGACCTTGGAGAGATGGAGACGCCTGTTGATTTTCTGTGAAGGAGCAGAGGGAGAGAAAAGAAACAAGAAAACATGAGCCACCAGGTCAACAACCTTCCCTTCTCCTCCTCCTCCCCAACCCAAGCAGCCCGCAGAGATGGATCACAGAATCATTCAGGTTGGAAAGATCCTTGGGATCATCGAGTCCAACCATCAACCTCGGCTCTACAAAGTTCTCCCCTACCCCACATCCCCCAACTCATCCAAACGGCCCTTAAACCCCCCCAGGGACGGGGACTCCCCCCTCCCAGGGCAGCCTGTTCCACTCTGACCACTCTTACTCTGAAAACTTTTTTCCTCCTGCCCAGCCTGACCCTCCCCTGGGGCAGTTTCCAGCCGTTCCCTCTTGTCCTGTCCCTGATCCCCTGGGAGCAGAGCCCAGCCCCAGCCTCTCTGCAATGTCCTGTCAGGAGCTGCAGAGAGGGATAAGGGCTCCCCTCAGCCTCCTCCTCCTCACACTCAACACTCCCAGCTCCTTCCCTGGCTCCTCACAGCATTGATTCTCCAGCCCTTCCCCAGCCTCGTTGCCCTCCTCTGCCCTCGCTCCAGCCCCTCCAGATCTCTCTGGGATTGAGGTGCCCAAACCTGGACACAACCCTCCAGGTGTGGCCTCACCAGTGCCGAGCACAGGGGACTGTCACCTCCCTGCTCCTGCTGCTCACACTAGTTCCAATCCAAGCCAGGAGGCCGTTGGCTTTCTTGGCCACCCGGGCACACTGCTGGCTCCTGTTCAGCTGCTTGTCAGTGAGAACCACCAGACCCTTCCAGACAGCTCCAGCCACCCCTCCCTGAGCCTGTAGCCATGCCGGGGGTTGTTGTGGCCCAAGTGCACCCACTCGCAGACCAGCATTTAGCTGCAACAGGATCATGTATTCCCATGGTACTTGAGATATTTTGGTGTCTCGAGATGCTGAAGGGCACTCACGTCCAGGGCGTACTCCTGCACCACTGCATGCAGGATGATGGCGATGAAGATGTAGAAGAGGATGGTGACCAGATCCTTCAGCCCATAGTGATACTGGACCAGCTCCCCATCTACAAAGAGGCCAAACGGTGGGTCAAATCTCCATGGTCCAAAATGATTTCCAGGTAAGGGCTTAAGGCTTAGTGGCGGAGACTATTCCCAACATGCAGCTTGGATGGGGCCACCACAGAGGTGGGGGCAGAGAGAGGTCATGACTGTGCCAGTGGCTGTTGGGCTGGAAAAAAGGGCTCTAGCCTGAGTCAGTTTATCAGCAGAGGGTGGATGGATTCCTCTCTAATAGTTACACACCTCAAGAGAGGTGACACTCAGGACACTTCAAGCTTCTCCTGCCAGAGGTGAGGGGCTGGAGACATAAATTCATCATCCCGGAGGGATGAAGACACAGAGGCAGCACTGAAGCAGGTGATGGGCAGGCAGAGCTGGCTCTCGCCCTCCAGGACACCCCGCTGGCAGCATTAGGACTCGGGATGGTATTTCCACCCCCTCAGTTATCATCCAACACCCAGACTCTCCCACTCACTCCTGAAAGCTGCTGGAGCAGGATTCAGCTACCTAAATGCAGATGCCTCATGCTATTAAGAGATCTGAGACAGCAGCACGGGGTTGGTGGATGAGAAACAGGACCCACGGGAGGCCCTGCTCTTCTGGAGCAGCAGCAGACACAACAGCATCCAAAATACCCCAGACAACTGCATTTAGGTGACTATTTTCAGCCCTGCAGCTTATGGGGAAGAAGCAGAGTTGGGAAAGCTGCTGTCCTCGTGGCAGGCTGCAGAAAGCATCGCAGTGGGAAGCTCAGCCCAGCCCCTGCTGCTGCTGTCCCTTACCCTGTCCATTCTCTCCTAATATCAATGCTGGGAAGTGATTTGTCTGTCACCAGCTCTGTTTACCCTCAGACAAAGCTTCAGTCCAGATTTCTAAGATTTGAGGTACACGAATAAGGTTTTGAGTAGGATTTTTGAAAACACCTGATGGAAGGACCAGGTGTTTTCACATCCTTAGGAGCCCCTGGCTGGGTGCTGTGTAAACCCAGAGGTAAAAACATTGCCTGTATCACAGAGGTCATAACCCCAGTATAAAAGAATTGCAAGCCTAACGAAAATAACATTATGCATGTGTGCAACTGCTCTGCCTCCTCTCTCTAGGGCATTTCAGAAGCTGCTTTAGCAGGAGCTGCGTGTATGCTGATCACAGGAGACGAGAGTAAGATCTGCCAACTGTCAGGCAACAGCATCCTTGTTGTGAGGGATGTGAAACAGCCTTGGAAAAATACAGGTGAGCAATAACCCTTCCTCTGAGCAAGCTTGCTCAAGGTCTCCCAACCCACGGCCTCAGCTAGCTCACGCCCTACACTGATATCCCAACACCTGCTTCTGGCGAGATGGTTACATGCGCCCCCCCTCCCCGAGATTTCTGGTAGCGGTGAGGAATAAATCACTTAGCACAAAGGCAGTGGAAGTTGTCTGGACTGTGCCGTAGGGGAGCACGGACCACAATTTAATCTGGAAGCTGGGTAATTTCTTCAACCATGATGTTCAAAGACTTTAAGGGCAGACCTTTTATCTTCCGCGTGTCTGCCTCATCCTAGTTTCACTAATCCCAGCAGCCCCGCTCTTCCCTTGGATGATTACTCAAACACTTTTAATTAACTGCAGTTTTCTGCCACCAAGCCAGGCTCTGTGCCCCAGGCGTTTGGCCCGTCCTGAGGCCAGAGCTTTACCCAAACCACCTCCTGCTGCCCCCATGCCAGTACCCAGATTGCTGCCAGCCCCAGAGGGGCTCTCGGTGAGGAACACAGCCACTAGATGCCAAAATACAAACAGGGACTGAGCCTCCAGCTGCCTCCTGGCCGGGAGCTGGGGCACATCCCCTGGTCCATCGGGCTCGGACCTGTGCCAGCTTGGAGCCTCCTTGAATTACATTCTGTGTGTAGCAGGACCATAAACTGCCTGGAGCAGGGATGCTGTGCACCACGTGCATCTCTGCACCCTCATCTTGTGCCATCCCTAATAAATAAAGCAAGATGGCAATTATCTGCGCAGCCCCTGCTGTTTAGCAAAGAGCTAAATCCCTCCTGCTCTTAGGCAGGCACAGCTACTCCAGGCATGCAGTCAGGCAATTTGATCTTGCCTGACAAGGCGTGGAGGAGGATTCTCACCCTGCAGAGCACACAGAGCAGCCTGACCATAGCAGAAACAGGGTAGGGAGGAGGCCCTAAAACCACCTGGAACACATTTCTTCCCAACCCCAGCAGCACCAGGGCTGGCAGACACGATCAGCGCACTCTGAGCCACTCAAACTTTGCTTTTCCCCCACATATCTTATTTTTAAAATCTCCTTTACTACCAGATAAGGGTCTGAACAGTGCATCAGCAGGGGGTGAGCCCAGGCCAGCTGGCAGCAAGGGTTTGGGGCAGACCATGACTCAATCCTCCCTTTGGGGTATGAGCAGCAGAAGCATCTCTTACCTGCTGTAGGCACACTAACATTATACTGAGGTAAGATAAACAGGAAGGCAGTCTTGGCTGTAACCTGTCAAAGACACACAGAAGGGAAAAAAAAGCAAATCAGTTGTTGTATCCATTCCCCTGCCATCATTACTCCCCTTTCTGATCATGCTGGGAAAGGCAAATGATCCAGGGAGATGTGCAGGTACCAGCTTCACTTGCAGAAATGCCTTTCAGCGAAGAGATTGCTAGGGAAGAGGTTTGCCAACGGGGACTTGGGATTTGGGAAGATGAAAAGGATGTATAAAGGAGAGAGACACCTGAAAAAGCAACATAGCTGTAAAAGTCACCAGCCAGCCTGACGAGGGAAGCTCCCCACTTCCCCTCAAGGATGAACATGGACCATCATCCCATGTGACCTGCTGCTCGGTGGACACTAGGAGCCCGAGTCAGAAGGTCATTTGTGTTAATTAAAACTATGCCTCATTCCCATCCACTCTGGGCAGCCACAGCAGGGGCCTGGTCTGAGTAGGGATGGCAGCAACCAGCACCTGAGCAAGCTCAGAGGCTGCAAAGCCCCATGAGCATTTAGCCCCTGCATCTTTGTGGAGACTCCTCTAATAATAGCAGCCATGGGACGCCAGACCCCTTTAGAGTCTGTGCAGGCACTCACAAGGGTTCCACAGGGCAGGGGAAAAAGCTGGCAAAAGACCTGAACCACACACAAGATCCCAGCTGCATGTCCAGCATCACAGGCTGGCCCGTAAAGGGAAAAAACAAGCCTGGGATGAGACATGAGGTTCCCTACAGACCTAATTCAAGGAAAATCCCTGCAGCAGCAAAGCTGGAGGCTTCAAAGTTCCAGGGCAGAGCTAAGCATCCCGTCCCAGGGCATCTGCAGGACACCCCAAAGCAGCATCTCCAAGATCGATGCACCCTCAAGCCAGGGCCACAGCAAAATCCAGTGCACAGATGTCTGACGTCAAACATACCTTCACCTCGTCCAACCCCAAACACGCAGGAGGGTCACCAGAGATTTTCATCCTTCTGATGGCTCCTCAGCCACCCCTCCAACTAACCAGCTTTGAAAGCATTCAGCCTCCTACACAGCCAGCCCCAAAAAATCCCAGGCCTGTCAAACACCGATGGAGACGAGCCGCATTTCACACAGATGTAGTTTTGACTGTTTCAGAGCCACAGGCTATTAAAAACCCGGCTGGAAATATTGCCTCACATCTTGTGGGACATCGCTGCAGGGGGGACGTGGGGGCTTTGCCAAGTGTTCTCATCCCACCCCCAGGAGCATTGAGCAACTGGCCGGTGGCTCCGCTCCTCCGGCAGCTCTGCCCATCCTCTTGCAGCCCTGGCTGGGGGATAGCAAAACTCCACGGTGTGTTTTCATGATCTTTGAGTTTTTCTTTTTTTTTTTTTTTCCCCCCACTTGAAAAAAGAAATCCCACACGTTGTGCTCCGCTTGTGGAGGAGAAAATGCAGGAAGCACTCTGCCAAGGGAGATGGAGACCACGGGCAGAGTTTGGGGGGGTAATGGAAAAAGTGCATCGCCTGGCCTCAAGCTGGCTTAAGGAGACACTTCTGGCTTTTGCCAACCTTGCTGGCTAGGAAAGCAAAATTGCTTCATCCTGGAGCGGTACAGCACAACCAGGACCTGGACTTTACATCCAAACCTCATGACAAGATGGCAAGGGGGATGAAACAAACACACCAACACATCACATCTGTGATGCTGCAGGGATGGGCGGCTGTGTCACGGATGTGCCCACAGCAGCAGGCACTGCAGGTTTTACATCCCCCCCAAGTGCCTGGCTGACATCCAGAGGTGTACACAGCTGGAAACGAGACACCACCTCCAGATGAAGTCTCCTACCTGCTGGAAGGGCAGTAAGCCAGACTTATGGGTCTGGAAAAATGACCCTGGAGCATCTCCAGGGCAGGGAGCAATGCCCACACGGTGCTCAGCCCTGACATGATTTGCAAGGACTCTCCTAATCTTCTTTTCTAGCAGGTCTGGTAGGAAGGTTTCCTCTATAGATACCTGAGGATCAGTCAATGCTTTGTCCCATCTCCATACCTGCCTTTGCTTCCCACGGGCCTCAGGACCACCAGAAGCTTCAGGGGCCACCTCTGCACCTCTTCACCCTTTCACCTTTCATTACCAAGAGGTGGTGGGTTGTTTTCTAAAGCCTGCCTAAAATGTTTTACAGTCTAAGACAAATCCAACCTCCTGGACATAGGCAGACTCCTGACAGACCGATTTCCAGAGAACTGCTCCCTCCTCCAGCTGATGGTCGGGGAGCCCAGGCACACACCTGCAGTCACTCGCCAAGGGCCACAGCAGCAACTCTAGGGGCCAAATTTGAACTTCTGGGTGTTCGACTTCCCCACCCACCTCTGAGGCATCTCAGAGACGTTTTGTGGAAGGAAGGTCTCCTCTTGCACACTGAAGGCCTTCCTTGCCTCTGTGACGGGCTGGGAAGAGTTCACACTGACCATGGAAACGTCTGAACACGTGCAGGATTTCACCCTTCATCCTGGCACAGTCCCCGCGCACACTCCCCCGTGGGCACCAACAGGACCTTAACAACCAAGGCAGCATTTTCAGAGGTGGGTCCTTGGGCCTTCCAAGGGCTCACATGACTGGCTGCATCTCCTTTTGTGAGCACCCGCACCTCAATGTTTTCCTCGCTGCAACTGCATAAGAAACCCAGGCTGAGGTACTTACTGTCCAACTCAGCTCTCCCCTCTGAGACTCACCACCCGCCAGGCCACCAGCGTCACCACCAGCACACCCTTGGCCAGCTCACCTCCATCTCCCCGCTACCACCATGAAGACAACTCAGCTCAGACGGGCAAAGTCACAGTTTCCAGCACCCGAGGCAGATGGAGCACAAAACCCACAGGGCAAACCACCTTGGGCAGGACACTGGAGACATCCCTCCATCCCTGAAGGTGAAGGACACCCTGCACATCCACGGAGGGATCTTTTTGCTATTGTTACAACACATCCCTTACCAGCAGGCATGGAGGGAGGGATAGATGACTTGACCAAGGTCACAGCTGACCTCCATCAAGTGAACACCAGGCTCCAAAATCCCACGCTTGTAGCCGTAACCCCCACAGCATCTCCTCCACCTCATCAATTGGAAGCATCCATGGTGTGCCCATTGCTATACAGCCCTGCACAGCCTAGAGACAGCTTAAGCCTCCTGGAAAATAGGGAACACTTAAACCATGACCTAGAGCAATGCCACCTCCAGCTCCCCTGCAAGGCAGAAACCAGGTTTCCTTGGCTTGCGAAGGAGCAACGAGCACCAGGGATGGCAAACCTTTAGAGCTCCCATTGAGCATTTTGCAGGCGGATAGAGAAAAGAGAAGTTTGTAACAGGAAGAGCAACACGAGGATTACTCAGAGGCACAAGACACTCACTGTCTGTTTGCTCTGAAACAAGATGCTGGTATGGGAAAGGAAGCGCCAGGCATGCTCCTGCAGGCAGGGGCAGAACTGGGTCTCTCCAGGTATTCTTATATTTTTTTTGTCATGCTGTGAGGCCACCTTCTCAGCGTGCTTCTTTGGTTATCTCCAGCCTTTACTCAAGGCAGCCTGAAGTCCAAACCCTACATAGCATCATCATGACTTGGGTAGAGATTTTTACAGGGTGGGAGAGGGATTTATCACAGAATCATAGAACGATTTGGGTTCAAAGGGACCTCAAAGATTATCCAGTTCAACCCCTCTGCCATGGTCAGGGCCACCTTCCACTAGCCCAGGTTGCCCAAAGCCCCGTCCAACCTGGCCTTGAACCCTTCCAGGGAGGGGGCAGCCACAGCTTCTCTGGGCAGCCTGTGCCAGGGCCTCACCCCCCTCACAGGGAAGAAATTCTTCCTACTATCTAATCTAAATCTGCCCTCTTTCAGTTTAAATCTGTAACTCCTCATCCTATCTCTACACCCTCTGATCAAGAATCCCTCCTCACCTTTCCTGTGTAGCCTAAGTCCTGGGAGGCCGCTCTAAGGTCTCCCCGGAGCTTTCTCTTCTCCAGCTGAACCCCCTAACTCTCTCAGCCTGTCCTCACAGGGGGGTGCTCCAGCCCCCTGAGCATCTTCATGGCCTCCTCTGGACCCACTTGAGCAGGTCTGGGTCCTTCTGATTTTGGTGCCCCCAGAGCTGGACACAGCACTGCAGCATTTGTCTGCATGGGACAAGCTGAGCAGGGACCATGTAAGAAAGGCTGTATCCACATTCGCTCCCTGCCCTGTGTTAAGGGCACCTCTGTGCAACCCACCACTGCCCCACAGGGTGAGGGAGATGCTCCTCATCCCGGCCTCATCCTGCCTTGCATGAAGAATGTGCCTGAACCAGCTAAATTGGGGAAACAGTGCTGCTGGGGGCTCTCTACAGCCACGCAGAGGGAACAGCATCTTCAGCAGCAAGTGGGTTTCCAGTGGTCAATGACACTAATCGGAGGATCAAAGGGCGGCCGGATGGTGAAGAGGCAAAACTCAACATGTCAATCAAGACCACAGTTTCCTTTGATGCTCAGAGCAGCCAGGACAGGGCTTGGGATGTTTCTCAGAGCAATACAGCCCGAAATCAAAATAGCACATCCACCTCACAGCCCTTGATGGCAGGGCGATGGATGAGGCTGAACAATCCCAGCACTACTATGCATTTACTACGCATCTACTATCCACCACTGTGCATCTTCTCCCTGATAATGCAGTGACCAGAAGAATTCACAGCCCTGCTAGCCTGGAGTTTGCTGCCTAATACAAAGCGGCCAAGCTCCCCCCACCCTTTTTAGAAGGTGCTGGTTCCTCCCTGCCATGAATCGCTCTCAGACTCCAAACTAAAATCCTAATTCCACTTTTGCAGGCATACAAGAGGCTTTTAATAAAGGTATCTAAGCACGGGCATCCAGGCTGCTCAGCACCTCTCCCAAAATCTCCCCGCTGTGACTCTCACACCCTAATATTTTCAGGAGCCAGGGATAGTTTTTGAGCATCCTTTGCAGAGAGGTACCAGGTCACTCTATGAAACCTGGTTCCCTTCCCAAAAGCCTCATCCCGGTGGGATGTGCAGAGTCCATGCTGTCTTCACCCCAGCCAGGAGCCCCCAGGCACGCAGCCACCCCCACAGTCCTGCCTGGGTTAA